GAATAGAATAGAATAGAATAGAATAGAATAGAATAGAATAGAATAGAATAGAATAGAATACTTTTATTGGCCAAGTGTGATTGGACACACAAGAAGTTTGTCTTTGGTGCAAATGTTCTCAATGTACATAAAAGAAAAGATAAATTCGTCAAGAATCATCAGGTGCAACACTTAATGATAATAATAGGGTACAATAAGCCATCAAATCATACTAGGAAACAGTCCATATAAATCGTAAGGATGCAAGAGACAACGTTACATACAGTCACAAGCTGGAGGGGAGGGGCGATAAGGAGTGATGAAAAGATTGACACTAATAGTAGTGCAGACTTTGTAAATAGTTGGACAGTGTTGAGGGAATTATTTGTTTGACGGCATTGGGGAAAAAACTCCCCTTGTGTCTAGTTGTTCTGGTGTGCAGGGCTCTATAGCCTCGTTTTGAGGGAAGGAGTTGACACAGTTTATGTCCGGGATGTGAGGGGTGTGTAGATATTTTCACAGCCCTCTTTCTGACTCGTGCAGTACACAGGTCCTCGATGGAAGGCAGGTGGGTGGTAATTGTTTTTTACAATGCAGTTACTCTACTTGTAAGGATCTTAAAGGTATACGAAGACTCTTACTTGCTCTCTACGCTTTGTAGCCTTCCTCTCATATCTACCTTGTGTGTATGTGAGGGTGGGTCTTACCCTAACCTTATGGATCAATTAAAGTTAGATTTGGTTCTTCAAAGCCGCTGCTTAAGTTCCTTTGTGGCACACGGTGGTCTTAAGTTATAGCCGGACTTCCCAGTGCAAAAGTATGCATACCCTCACGAAAGCGTTGTCATGAACAGAAATGAGGTTGTATAGAAGAAAATAGGTTGAATAAAAATTATTTTAAAAAAAGGAAAGTCATGCGTTATAGAGTTCCGACAGTTGAAGTCCTCATACCTGCAAAGGGGCGGAGACACCCACTCACCTAACCCCGCCCACAACTCTCCTTACCAACGACCTTGACTCTCATCGTCCGTGTCAGGGAGAAATCCCGCCCATTCTCCCGGTAACTCGCCACGCAGGTGTACTCGCCCTCGTACGCGGTTTCGACGATGGCAAAAGTGAGGTTGAGCCCATTGGGGATCCGATCGGGATACTCATATTTCATCAGGTGGCACTCCTGCAACGGGAAGAGGACGGCAAACTGGTGTCACAGGAGGGTGGACCTTTTCAGAGGGCTGGCTGGCTAGAAAAACCGAAGCCACGCCCTGGATCTCCTGGGATGGAGTTCAGACAACCAGGTGAAGCAGGTTCGGTCAGGGGGCGCCAACCTTTTGGACCTCCGGGACCACCAAACTCGTCCTTTTAAATCCCGTGGACCAGAGACCCTGGGAAAATACCCCCCAAAACGTCTACAGGAAAATCCCCCGTTCCGTTTTCCTACCGATCGATCCTTCTTTATTCGGGATCGCAGGATATTGTCTCCAGCTCTGTTCTCAGGGAGAGACTTTTGGCTTCATGCAAGGAAAGCAGCAGAAGCCGCAGAAGTCTTTCTTTCTCTCCCCCAAACTCCGCCAGAAAGGAGTCTTTGCCGGCACAGCCTCTTGGAGCAGGAGGCCTTGCAGGGTCCCCAAAGACTCATTTCTGGCGGAGTTTTGGGGAGAGAAAGAGAGACTTTGGCTGCTTTCCTTGCGTGCAGCCAAAAGCAGAAGAAGGAAGAAGCGGAAAGAAGGAGCCGCGTGGCCTGGCCAGGTGTGTGGGGCGCGTGGGGCAAGTCCCTCCCTCCACCTTCCCCCCCTCCCCTCACTCCCTTGTGCTGTTCGCAGTGCAAGCGACGCAAGCCTTGTGCTCCCGCGGGCCGTGTGGGAGGCGCAGCCTTGTGTTCCTGCGCAGCCTGGATTATTTGCTTTGGGGGGGACATTTCTCTGCGGACCCCCAACATTTTCTCACGGACCAGCAGTGGTCCCCGGCCCACTGGATGGCGACCCCTGGGCTAGAAGAAGGCGTGAAACTAGGCAGGTCTTCCAGATCCGAGCAATGACACAACCGTGTAAAAAAACAGATGACAGGGAGTCCTCAGTTTATGACAACTTAGCCCCAAATTTCCCATTGCTAAGCAAGCCGGTTGTCTTGCTTAACAACGGTCTCATCAGCCACAACCCCTTGCTTAGCCACGTGACCCCTGGTCCCAGTGGTGCGGCAGGTCAAGGGGTCCCTGTTTGAAATATAAATAAAGAAATGAGAATATTTCTGGCAGCTCAGCAGAGCCAAATCGCTCCTTCCCTGCGCTGCCTTTTCCGACATTTTTAAGGAGAAAAGGAACAGTGGGGAAGAGAGACACCTGCACAACATCTCCTCCAATGTTCACCTTGTGTGTTGAATAACAAAATAAAAAAGTTGGAAGGCACTTTGGAGATTAAATCAGAATTGAGTTGGAGGGGACCTTGGAGGTCTTCTAGACCAACCTCCTGCTCAAGCAGGAGACCCTGTACCATTCCGGACAAATGGCTGTCCAGTCTCTTCTTAAAATCCTCCAGTGATGGAGCATCCACAACTTCTGGTGGCAAGCAGTTCCACTGGCTAATTGTCCTCACTTTTAGGAAGTTTCTCCTTAATTCCAGGTTGCTTCTCTCCTTGATTAGTTTCTATCCTTTGCTTCTTGTCTTGTCTTCTTGTCTTATTTTGCTCTTCGACCCATCGAAAGCAATCAGACCACGCAACGATGACCCGGGGCTGGGTGCCAAGTCCTCTCTTGTACGGGAATTCTGGGCGTTGATGTCCTCGCATCTTAAACCAGGCTGTCTAGGGAATTCTGGGAGTTGAAGTTCACCCCTTTTCAAATGGCTGACTTTGAGAAACACAAGGGGGTGGGGGTGGGGGAATACAGTGGGTTAAAAGCTTTGGTGGGTTTTCTGGACATGCCGACCCAGATGTTACAGATCCATTCATTGTACAAACCCCAGGGTGTGTGTGTGTGTGTGTGTGAGAGAGAGAGAGAGAGAGAAAATAAACTGTGGCGGCCCCTTAAATACCGGAATGCTGCTATCTGGTCTCCTCCAGTCCTTCTTTTCTCTCGACTGGCCGCTCCGAAATCCTGCAACCATTCATGAGTTTTAGTCTCCAGGCCTTTAGTTGCTCTTCTCTGCACTTTTTCCAAAATCTCAACCTGTTTTTCGTAATGTGGTGACCAAAACTGCAGTATTTCAGGTGTGGTCTTCATGTGACCTTGATTCTAGGCCTCTGTTTCTACCGCCCTGGATTGTATTAGCGGTTTTGTGGCCACTGGCTCATGTTTAAGGGATGTTGTCGAGCCAGGTTTCTCCTAATCTGCACTTGTCCCTTTTGGTTCTTCCTGCCCAGGTGGCTTTTCTCCACATTCAATTTCGTTTTGTTGAAAAGGGTTCTGTTAAGGATTGCCAAATATGGTGGGAATAACAAATCCCCCTCAGTGGGATTTATGCTTTGGACAGCACCGGCTACAAAAGCGGGCACCCGCCGTAGCTGAGCAGCTTTTTCTTAACTGGACAGTAAATAGAGTTTACCTTTTCCTGCCGCGTCCTGCCTCTTATTCCCGCGGACGCATTTAACACGGGCAACGAGGATGGGGTCCTGAGCTGCGGAGAGAACAAAAGACACTTCGTGGGTTTCGGACGCCATTTTACCGGCCATCGTAGTGATCACGACCTCTCCGACCAACATGGCTCAACGCTCAACCAGCCTGGCCTACCGCCCGATGTCGATCCGCTATGAGCCGGCAAAGGAGAAATGGTCCTCATACGTGGGCCAATCCGATCTACGCCTGGAAGTCAACAGACTCGGAGCAGCCTCCGATGCACACAAAAAAGCGCATCGTTCCTAACCTACCGTGACAAGGAAATCTATGAAATGGCAGATGCCCTAATGGCGGAAGACCTGCGGAGCGTATCCTGGGATGAACTTCAACGGGCACTCAAGCGACATTACGCCCCTTTTCCCTCCAACCTGGCAAGACTTTTACATGCATAGCCAGAGAGAGAGAGAGAGAGAGAGGACAGAGAGAGAGAGAGAGAGAGAGAGAGAGAGAGAGAGAGGATCAACTTATTCGTGGCCGACTTGCGGAAGATAGCAAAAAACTGCAGCTTCACAGACACCGAAGGAATGATCCGAAACCAAATCACCCTGGGAACGAGGGACCTGGCGCTACAAAAGAAATCCTTGGTCCAGGAGGATGTCTCCTTCAAAGAAGCCATCGATGAGGCACAAACCGCAGAGTCCTCTGACAACTCGGCAGCACGGATCAGAGGGACGAGCAGGATCCATGCAACCGAGATGGATCGAAACCCTAACCGCAACGACTCCGCCTCAGAAGCAAGCGAGGGCGAAGATGAGGAAGTGCACAAGGTGACGTCCGGTAAGCCAGATCGGAAACCGAGAAATAAAGAGCTGCGGGGGTTGTGGAGGCCATCATCGCTGCTCGGCACGCCGTTGTAAAGACGCTATTTGCCGAAGATGTGAGCGCAGAGGCCACATCGCAGAGGAATGCCAAGCGATCCAACCGACCAACAAGGCATCATCACCCAGGAGGCAAGATGGCTGCCGGGGGGGGGGGCGGAAGGCCCCTGGTGCGAAATTCAGAAGGAGAGATGACGCCTGGGAAGAAGAATTACCCTTCACTTTTGTTGGCTACACCCAAAACCAGGTGAGACACGCCGATGCCTACGAGGCCAACCAAGTAACGGCCACAGTGTCCTTTGAGGACAAGCCCTGCCGGATGGAAGTGGACTCGGGGTCCTACATATCCATGATATTATGGGACACCTTCAAAGGACTCCAACCCGACTCCCAGTGGCGCTTCCATCGACGATGGATCAGAGACCGCGATCGTACGCGGCTTTGATCCAGGTTAACCCTTGGAAGGGTCCCTACGGGACCAGAGTCATCTGACCCACACCTCGGAGGGGTGGGGGAAGAGGGGTAGACTGCCAGCTGGGTCAAGGGGAGTGCCAGCTGGGTCATCTCCCCTCCCTAGTTAGGTATTACTCCCCTGGAAGACAGGGATAAACAGCAGTCTAAAATGGCTGCCCCGAAGACGGAAAGCTGCCGGGACCAAAGTGTGCGCTGGAGCGGCGAAGTGGTGTAACCAGATAAAAGAACTTGATTTCTTCTTAACAACCCCAAGAAGTAGAAAAAAAGAGCCCTTGCTTAAGAGGATCACATCAGCGAACAGGAAATAAGAGGAAAAGACGAGGAGGCGAACAAAATGGGAGTATAAAAAGCTACAACAAAATTAGAGACTAAATTTTGAATACTATGTATAATATGGCATTAATTAGGCATTGAACAAAATTCTGGGCTTGCCTGGAATTGACTATTTTTAAGAAAGTTAATCATGGATCATGAAAAAGAAAAAAAGAAAAGAACTTTGAAAAGTGGAAAGCGATACAGAATGCCACCTAATGGTTAAAGACTTTTTTTCCTACAGAATTTTATGGAAATTTACTGGTCTTATAATTGTTATGAGATAAAAGACGAATAAAATAAGAAGAACCCCAGAAACTTTTAAAAAGGGGGAGAAATAAGAGGATATATAAATGTAATTTCCTGGGACTGTTGGGTGTTGATTTTGACAAAGAGACAGAAAGATTCATAAAGGAAAGAAAGATAAAAGGAGACTTTTGGCAAGGATTACAACAAAAGACTTTGAATATCAATAACTTAACTGATTATAAAAAAATGGAAGAAATAAGCAAAGACTAAGTTGGAATTGCAAATTGTAAGAGGAATGCTGAAAGAAAGAAGGGAAGTATTGGACATGCTGGCAAAGAAAATAATGGCGATGGTAGAAGAACAAAGAAATTTCAGTGAAGCGGAGTTAAAGGAAGAAGAAAGTGACGCAGACAGACACGGAGAACAAGAGATACTGCCAAAAGACACTAAAGGAACTAAAATTATGACACTGATGACAGAGTTAATAAATAAAAGAGAAAACGCTCCCAGGATTAAACAGAAGAAGAAGAAATTCTACAAGGAGAAACTTCAAAAAAGAGAACAGGAAAGGGGTGGGAGAAGAAGGGCGAAATACTGGAAGGAAAAAAAGAAGGAAGACCAGGGAAATTTAGAAAAGGGAAAGCTGGCTAAAATTAAAAGAAATAATAAAGCCGAAAAATTTAGAGATAAGGGTTAGGGATTCTATAAGGGGGATATCACATGGAATATATATTTTGTATTTAGTCTAAAACTTGCTGGGGCTTTGGAGAATAGGTTGACCCCAGGGGTGGGATTCATTTTTTTTTTAACAACCGGTTCTGTGGCTGTAGCTTGGTGGTCATGTGACTGGGTGAGGCACCAAAATAACCCAGATGTCTCCTGCTGGAGACAGGGAGTTGGACTTGATGACCTCTGAGGTCCCTTCCAGCCCTGGATTGCTGTGCTGTTTCAAAGCATCCTCTGAAACTGCGTCTGGTGCCAGGGCTTGTGGTCCTTTCTTCCTCTCCTTTTTCTCTTCATCCTTCTCTTCCTCTATCCACCCCTCCATCTATATCTCATTCACTTTCCCTTCCCTTCCCTCTTTCTCTCTTCCCTCCCTCCCTCCTTCTTTATCTTTCTTTCTTTCTTTCTTTCTTTCCTTTCTTTCTTCCCCTTTCTTTATTTTCTTTCTTTCTTTCTCTTTCTCTTTCTTTCTTTTCTTTCATTCATTCCTTCTCCCTTCCCACCCTTTCTTTCCTCCCTCTTTCTTTCTTTCCTCCCTTTCTTTCTTTCTCCTTTCCCTCCATCTCTTTTTCTTTCTTTCTTTCTTTCTTTCTTTCTTTCTTTCTTTCTTTCTTTCTTTCTTTCTTTCTTTCCTCTTTTCTTCCTTCCTTCCATCTTGCTTGCTTTCTCCCTTCCCTCCCTCCCTCCCTCTCTCTCTTTCTTTCTTTCTTTCTCCCTTCCCTTCCTCTTTCTCAGTGGTGCAATTCAAATTTTTTAACAACCGGTTCTGTGGGCGTGGCTTAGTTGGTGGGCATGGCTTGGTGGTCATGTGACTGGCTCGGCGTGGCCAACTCAACATCACTCACATCGAGGCACGCATGTCCTCGCCTGGCCTCTCGTGACTGTGGGGATGCTGCAACAGTCGTAAGTGTGAAAAAGGGTCATAAGTCACGTTTTTCAGTGCCATCGTAACTTTGAATGGTCCCTCCACACAAGCAAAGTACCAGCAAAGGAGGGGAAAAAACTCCAGAGATTTCCTGAGACAGGAAGTCTAGTCCTGCCAAGAACGTAATAAGGTTTAACGGAGAGGCAGTTTCTGTAAGCAACACCAGAATGTTTCCTTCCTGCCTTCCTTACAGGATTAGCCCAGGAATTTCTTCTAACAACCGGTTCTCCAAACTGCTTAGAATGTTAACAACCGGTTCTAGCAAATAGGTGCGAACCGGTAGAATCCGACCCCTGCTCTTTCTATCTCCCTTTCCTCCCTCCCTCACTCTTTCTCTCTCTCTTTCTTTCTCCCTTCGATCCCTTTATTTTTGTCATCGGGAACTACCAATTCGCCAAACTGGATGTAAAATTAACATCCAGTTCACCCGAACCATCCCAAATCAGCTGAATCCCAGCCCTGGTTCTCCCCCACCCTTCTTTGGGGCAGCCCCTCGGATCGAGGCTTGTCATTGCCGCCGTCCCTGATGCCTGGTTAGCGCTACCGTCGCCTCCTCCTCCCCCTCCGTCTCCGCGGGGCCGTTGGAGAAAGAAGCTTTGCGCCACTCCTGATAGAGTTTTATTAGCCAGATAAATCAGCTGTCATCGGCAAATTTATTTCCACCGGGGATTTAGTTGTGCTGGGCTAATAGATGGTGGAGATTTGAATTTTAATGGATGATGCCCTTCAGCCTAATGAAGTAATTTCTCTTCTCTCGTGGGAGGAAAGGAGGGACGGATGAAAAGATAAACAGCTTTCTACCCAGACCCTCCAAATGAGTTGAGGGTTGCTGGAGAACGGCTGCAGGAACTGGCTAGTCTAGGGAAGAGAAGGACCAGGGGAGACAGGAGAGCATCTTCCAATATTTGAGGGGCTGCCCCAGAGAGGAGGAAGAAGGGGGTCAAGCTATTTTCCAAGGCACCTGAAGGCCAGACAAGGAATAACAGATGGAAACTGAACAAGGAGAGATTCAACCTGGAAATAAGGAGGAATTTTCTGACAGGGAGAACCATCCACCCATGGAACAGAAGTTGCATTCAGAAGTTGTGGGAGCTTCATCCCTGGAGGTTTTCAAGAAGAAATTGGACTGCCGTTTGTTAGAAATGGTGTAGGGTCTCCTGCTTGGGCGGGGGGTTGGACTAGATGACCGACAAGGTCCCTTCCAACTCTGTTAATCTGTAAAGGTGTGGCTGTGCACAAGGCAGAGGAATATAGAGAATCCTTGACTTACAACCACAATCAAATGTCAGTTACTAAGAGAGACAGTTGCTCTGTGAGTTTCACCCTGTTTTATGAAAGTTCTTGCCAACCTTGTTAAATGAATTACTGCCAGATTGTTTAGTGAGTCGCACGATTGTTAAGTGAAACCGGCTCCATCCATTGGCTTTCCTTGTCCAAAGGTCGCAAAAAAAACCCATGTATAATTTGTTTTTAAAAGAATTGTTGGGGTCCGGAGG